CAGAGGAAAAGGAGGTGGAAAGGACGAATGAAGATGATAAACAGGGAACTCCTAGGCAAGGGTAAAATTTAATATGATTTCTAAAGGTAAAGTATTGAAATTCATAAAATTCGCAAATAAAGCTTTGCTCGTCGTACTTGGTGTATGCATCGCCGTCGGAGTAAGACGGGCTTCGATTATTTGCAGCAAGTAGAGAGGAATATAAGGCACAGATAAACACCGTTAGCGTGCTGCAACCACTGCTGCTAAAAAGCCTGAATATTCGATTCTAAGAAAGGAGGAAGAAAGAGGGAGACAGCTCTCTTTCGAAATGACATTGGATTGCATTTGCAGGCGATAAGCCGAGAGCCCGGGCTACCATGAGCTGTGCTTTTCGAGTAGCTTGAATAAATAATCTAATTTACATAAATAAAAGCACCGTCGGCGTTGTAACTGCAGTGTTGTCGTTGTCGTCGTCGCGTGCTCCAGCGACGACGGGTGGAGGTGGGACGAATACGACTTGCCCAGAGGAGCACGAGCTGTTTGTCGTTCTAAATGACTTTCTTAGGAATCCTGGAGAATTTTAACTGTGCTACGAAGTCGTGAAAATATCGGTATACTTGTGCTTTATTTGCGGCGTATAATATCACCTGAGGATTTTGTTCCAAAGCTAACGCGAGTCCATTATTTACAATATTCCTCTCCCCAACAGTAATGTCTCCAAACAATAACACTAAGTTGAGATCTCCATGCTAAAGCCAAGCTATTTTTTACCCAAGTCGTGTTGTATATCGTAGTTGCAGTCGCAGAAACACTCTATGCAAGCTCTCCAACTGTGTGTACTCACTTCGGAATTTTAATTTAAAGAACTCCTTAAGCTTTAAGGCTCTGATATTTTTTTCTTACATTAAAAAGACTTAAATATAATCATAATTAAATACGATTCATTTATTAATAGTCTACAAATACGATAGATAACATTGGTTAAAAGCATTCGATTATAATGATTAATAGTTATGAAACTATTGTTTCACTGAAATATGTTACAGTATGATATTTTTTTTTAATGACTTATGCAACATGTTTTTACAATAAATATATCGTATAGAAAAAATTAAGTTTTGTTTTATTGTAAATACAAATTAATTTATAATCAGATTTCAGATAATTCGGTGTTAGTGAAAAGCAATTAAAAGGAACAAGAGGGTATAGGAAGAGAAGACTCGGTTATTTACTAAGCGCAAAGCTCATAGAGAGAAAAAATAAAAAGGCGAAGAAAAAAGGAAGAAGAGGAAGGTATAGAGGAACAGAGCGACGCAAATCAGGATTCTAATCGATCAAGTCGCACTCTAAGGGCTTTCAAAGGAATGAAACGAGGAGAATGGACATACAGTAGAACGTATACCACGACGATATTAAATAGCAACGTCAATACTTCTCTCTCTCTCTCTCTCTCTCTCTCT